TGTTGTAAAAGTCCATGACAAATCTTATATCGATCAGTTAATTATGAGCATAAATGCTTATAATGATAAGAACAGTTGTAAATTATGAATGAAAAACAGACAAAAAAAAAACATTTAGACCCCAGGATGTAATTGAACACGCTTGGTTCACATTTAGAGGATAAATGAGCCGCGTCACGACAAAACCAACATAATGGGTTTGCGACCAGCATGGATCCTGACCAGCCTGCGCATCCGGGCAGTCTGATCAGGATCCATGCTGTTCGCTTACAAACCTAATAACAAGTAGAGAAACTGATAGCGAACGGCATGGATCCTGATCAGACTGCGCAGATGCGCAGGGTGCTCTGGATCCATGCTGGTCGCAAACCCATTATGTTGGTTTTGTCGTGACGCGGCTCAAATAGACTTTATCATAAAATTACAAATACGTACCTTAAATATATGACATAACAATAACATCTTACTAAAACAATAAACAAATAACCTTTCCGGAGTAAAAATTAAGAAACGTTTAACATATATTCACTTTAATATAACTATATACATGTATGCGCTGGTTCAAACTATGTTTAATGTAGAGGTGGTGATGTGCCATTTAATAAACACGTGACATGTATTGTGTATCTGTTTATAGTCTATGTTTATAAAATGCTTCATTTTTATTACAAAAATAATCTAATTCCAGAATAAAAACAAATTATGTAACATATTTAATTAATGTTCTACTTCTACTTCTAGTAGAAGCAGAACATTAATTAAATATTTTACATGATTTGATGTTGATTTATTTATATATAATATTTTATTCGATTAAAAGAAAATATCAGAATCGTGTTCACTGTGAATAATCTATTTCAGTTCTTACATATGCATGTATAATAAAATAATAATTAAAGATTAAACATTCATAAAATCTCTTACCTGTGAAATATTTTCATATCCTTGTCCAACTTTTATATCCATTAAGGTCCGTAAAAAACTTGTAAAAAACTTCCATGAATTATTTCTATCAGTTATTTTTAAATCTATAATCAATTGTCAATTAATGTTTTAATTGGAAACGTATATAACATCAGGGCTGGGAATCAAAACTGCGTCGTATCCTACAAAATGTAAACAAACGCCGCCATCTTGGAACGAAAAACGTATGTTTTTGTTTATAACTCTTTTTGTTGGAAATGACTGAAAACCAGATATATGTATTAACACGCTACACTATTTTCCGCTTCGTTCGGTATATGTTGCTTGCACAACTATTTTTTTAAACAAAAGTTATAGCGAACTTGGAGCTCGAAGCGGGGCAAAATTTTTATGAAAATGTGTGGATACGACGCAGTTCATATTGCTTTATCTATCGTTTTTTCCTTCAAATCAATTATATATTTGTTTCAGAGTTCACCATAAACTTCGAAATATAATTTTGCATCGTTTACTAAAATTTCATTAAAAAGAGATGTTTATTTTCAAAGAAAATAATGATTTTTATGAAATGATACGACGCAGTTGAAAATAAAATATGATACGACGCAGTTGTATTTTTGGCAGTCTTTTCAACAGGGATAATTTTGGCAGTATCTTTCTTTTTTATAGAATAATCACTTGCGCTAGATAAAAACCCCAGATCATTTGAGGTGTGTAGCAATTTTCTGTTGCTTTTGATTATTTAGAATATATTGTGTCATGTCCAAAATAACATTTAATTTGAAAGTTTACATTGCAGAAGCTACTTTTTAGTTAATCATGAACATGTTACCTAGTTGACCATAATATCTGAAATAATTTCTTATATTTCCCTGTATGTTCAATATTATCCCTAATTTTTTTTTCGCAAAAAAATGTAGAAATCTATTAACTTGAATTCATTTTGGCTAGCTACGCTCTAAGTTAACTGTGGTTTTGCATGTTCTGGGAAATGTCTGCTTTTTTGTGGTTTGTTTTCAAACTTTCACACTACACATTAGGGGCGAGGACTTCAGGTGCACCTTTGTGCGTTATTTCAAGCAAAATGGTGCACCTGCAGAGAACCATCGACATTTTGAAACTAGCTTGATAGGTTTTCCACACGAAAGAATAAAAAGTCCCTGGTGTTTTCGAATTCATAGCAGTTCAGTTCAAGTGATTTGAAGTCAGTAAACACAAGCATTGATGCAAAGCATCAAAGGGCGTCCAAGCAAGAAATGCAGCAAATGAAGATGAACAAGTAGACATCTGATGACCAGATATTCTTATAAACTTTTCATCGTTAATTGGTTTTAACCAGTATTGTGTATCATTTATGAATGGGCGGACGAAAGACATTGTTCATCATGAACTTTGGTAGGCCTGCATGCTAGAGATTTGAATATTAAATGTTTTTTTCCACAGGAACTTTATTTCTATCAATGTTAACGATAATGTCCAAAATATACAGGTCTATAATATCCAAAATATACCCCCTATATGGTATAAGTTTATTTATACTATATAGGGCTATTTTTGGATGTTCTCATTAATATTGGTTATTTGATAGAATTTTAAGTTCATGTGATATTTTCTTTGGATTATACAACATAATAGTAGTCAAAATGGACAATGTCTGTTTATTGATTTATTTAGGAGGTCAATCTACTATTTAAATGACCTAGTCTGATCCATCAGTGTGTTTACATGCCTATCAATAAACCCATAACAACTCGTGTTAAAATTGCAGACGAAGAATGATAATACTATGATAAAACAATTCGTAAAAATTGCCTACTTAAAGATTGCAATTAATTGTTTTAATATGTTTGCATTTTATTTCCTGCAAAATTCTCCAGTTCTTTGCGACGCGAATGACCGTTTCGGTAAACTAAAACTACTTCTATAAATAAATGTTTGGACTTTCACAATGTTCAGGTTATCATTCTATATATAGGTAAAGCAATAACACACATAATAACCTGCTGTGTACTACAAAATGATTAATAAAAATACCGAAGAGCGCGATTAATTGACAGATAAGATAATTTCATTTCAATATGTTTACATTGCGAAATTATCCAGCTTGCTATTCATTTTACATATCGCAACATTTCATTTTTGATAATCAAACACTCACACCAGTCGGAATATTCGGCTATTATGGCCGACGAAAAGGCTCGAGAAGTTGCAATTGCCCTTTCTCATTCCATAAAGGCGTCGCGCTTCGGCGCGGACGCCAATAAACAGCTCGGCATCGGTCGGACACACCTGTCGGATTTGTTGTTTTTTTTTTTCAACAAAATTTGTTAACGTCACCTGTACAAAAAGCAGCTTTTTATTAACTTCTGGCGTGAAGTTTTAAGATTATAAATATTTGAATTAATTATAAAGAGAATAACATTTAAATTTCTTATTTCGGTATGACTAGCAGAGAAATTTTTAATGTAAACAGGGGGTAATCCCCTGTGAAGTCATTTTCTGAAAACTTTTGTTTAAGTTTTCAGGCAATTCATTATCAAATAAAAATCACACTTAAGTATGAAGGTATGTTAAGATGCAATGTCTCTAGTCTGTTGAAAATTCAATGCGATAATCTGACCTAAATTTTCTGTTCAATATTGTGAAAACTTCTTCAATACTGTTGAAAGATCATGTCTGCCTATATCTGTATCAAATTTATCGGTGCACATCGTAAAAATCCTTTGCAAAACGGACACCTTCTTTACAAAATAATTTGTAGTTGTATCATATGTAACTCGATTTTGAAAATCTAAAATTATTTAATGGAGAAGAATGATACTTAAGTGCAAATATAGAAAACACATAGACCTTTCCTCATCGGCGATAAAGAAATGCAATACGACAAAAATCAGCGGTAAAGTTCCGCGGGGCTGAACATAAAATAACTAAACGGAACGCATAACCTACTTGCAAAAATATATTGTAGCTTAACCATTTATAACATAATTTTAATAATTTAATGTTCAGTTTCAAATAGTCAAGCTCATCTGTTCTCACCGATAATTAAGAAAATGAATACAATAAAATCGGCACGTAAAAGACATAAGTAATAACGGAATTGATGGAAATTATTGCTAATTACAAGTAACAAAGGAGTTATCTTCCGATAGCAAGAGACCTTTTCAAAATTTGTAATTCTTTCTCTTTTTTTTTTTGAAAAAAAGGTCATTCCTGATAAATAAAGGTTTCAGGTGAGGTTACACTGGAATATTGATTTTTGTATCAAAAATAGTAATCACTCCCATTTCGAACTCACGGGAACAATTTTAGAAGCATGCTAAAGCAACATTGGAACACGTAGTCATTTGGGTGTGCGATCACGTGTTTCAATGTATATTGCATATGATAGGTACTAAAATGCGACCGAAAATGCAGCCTTAATAGAATTGTATAATTTCCATTTTTATGGAACCAATGAGTGACTTCTGGTTTTGACTTAAGTTGTAAACAAGAAATATTGTTGGACGTTATTAGCATACCTATATATAGTACATAATTTAAATAGTTTAACCAATATGCAGCCTGCAATGATAATACAACTGCGTCGTATCATATTTTATTTTCAACTGCGTCGTATCATTTCATAAAAATCATTATTTTCTTTGAAAATAAACATCTCTTTTTAATGAAATTTTAGTAAATGATGCAAAATTATATTTCGAAGTTTATGGTGAACTCTGAAACAAATATATAATTGATTTGAAGGAAAAAACGATAGATAAAGCAATATGAACTGCGTCGTATCCACACTTTTTCATAAAAATTCTACCCCGCTTCGAGTTGCAAGTTCGCTATAACTTTTGTTTTACAAAATAGTTGTGCAAGCAACATATACCGAACGAAGCGGAAAATAGTGTAGCGTGTTAATACATATATCTGGTTTTCAGTCATTTCCAACAAAAAGAGTTATAAACAAAAACATACGTTTTTTGTTCCAAGATGGCGGCGTTTGTTTACATTTTGTAGGATACGACGCAGTTTTAATTCCCAGCCCTGAACATGTATGTCCTAATTGAAGACTATAATGTAGTTCGAAGAACCGCCATTTTGTTTCTAAGTGTCCATAATTAAATTGTTTTTATTAATTAAAATCATTTAAGTAATGGCTTCAATATATTTCACAATGTTTTTTCGTGTCTATTCTTTGCTTGGTTTTATTGTTTTGAACTCAAACCAGCCTCCAGTCGTCTATCACATGAAAAGTTTGTGATCTCCGAATATTTTCTCTAACACTGTCATATTCTGTTTCCGGTTTAATGTCTTTCATCTTTACTGTAACTGACTGCGGCAGATTTTCCAGCACGATAATAAAGTTCTGTAAACTTCCTGCAGACATTTCTATCTCCCTCAACACCACACGTTCAATATTCAACATGTCACGTGACAGTAACAATGAACTTTCATCTAGATTGATGTCCCACAACTCAACATTAACTAATGACGGTGTTGATATATTTAATTGTAGCCTCCCAGGTAACAACTGCAAGTATAACTCTGATAGAGTTGAATGTTGAGACAAGTCCAAGTTCAATCTCTTACAATCATGGCGGCCATGTTCTTTACAGTGTAACTCCATCAATGTTAACTCTTTCATTGATTTTTGACCGGAGATAAAATTGAAAATTGTTTCCAGTATTTTGTGAGATAACGTGAAGTTGTAAATATATAAATATTGTAAGTTTTGACATCGCGCCATGTTTTCACTCAGATTTTCTTCATCATTTGTCCATGTACCAAACAACAAAGTAACGGACTGTAAACTGGGAAACAATATCCGACTTATCTGAGCCTCCTTCTCCTCGTCACCAGAATAGTAAAGTTTCTGTATATGACTGAGATCTGTGAGAGAGAATAAATCTATAATTTCACGTAAACTGCTGGAAGTATCTCTGATGTCTATATAAAGTGATTTTATGTTGGTTTTATTTTGTTTTAACAAACGTTGTAACTGCTTACTGTGCACGGTGTCCTCTTTAATGAAGAAATCTTGTAAACATAATTGAATATTTTCACTTTCAGGCATTTCTTGTAAACACGACATGAACATTTTCTGTATGTTATACAATGGAGTATTGTACATGTTCTCGTCACCTGTCCTAGTTCTATAGTCGCGTGTTTTCTCGTCTTCATTTATCACAGACATCAAATCATTTGATATTTCACACATCCGGTCAGCATTCATTCCACTTATAAATTCACAAATTTTTGACATGTCCAGAATATCTTGAACAGTTCTACATTTTTCTACAACAGTTTTCTGAGCGTCACTTTGAGAACTTATAAATATGGCGGCAAAGAATTCTTGCACTGTTTTGTGAGAAAACGACACTTTAATAATTTCTTTAATTAAAGTTTTACTTCTACTTTCTGACAGTATTCCTGAGAGAAGACTTAATTTCATGTCGTCTGCTTTGAGATATTTTTCAGCAACTGTTCTATCAAATACAAGCGTGTTTTCTCTATTTTCATTAAATAATGTTTGGTAAGCTAGTTCTGCTAATGATATTATAAGGCTGTAAAACTTTTTACAAAATTCATGACTTTTGAAGTATTCTGGAATTTCACTGGCAGATGATTCACAAGATGGTTGAACTTCCGGGTGTTTCTTTGAAGTTCTCGATAATAGAAATTCAATGATATTGGTGTAAATTTCATGTTTTGAATTTCCTATTGGAATGTTGTTACACCATAGGCAAACTATATACATGAGGAGGAGTGGAATCACTTGCATGTGCTCTAGGCGACGGTCACGTATCACTTTATTAAAGTCCTGTCTTTTACTCTTCAATACTCTATCGTTATGGACACCGGTCATTTTCCTTATAGCATTTTCTTCTAGTTGCCGCGTAGAATCTGCACTTAATTGAACCAATTCTACTTTTTTGTTTATTTGACTTGTTTTGAGATTTGAAACTCCGAGCTTCCACGGTCGGGTTGTCGTTAGGATAACACAATTATCAGGTACGTACCGATGTGGGATTTTTTCTGTTACTTCGCCACAACTATTATCAGGGTGTGTCCATTCGTCAAGACCGTCCAATATAATCAAACATTTTTCTCTACGTAAAACTTCATCTAGTGATGCAGAGGGACGAAGTTTCTTGGTAATTTGTTGTTCGATCATATCGTCAATGTTACAAACAGAGGTACAGTCTCTTAATAAAACCAAAAATAAGAACTTAAAGTCAAATAACGTCTTTAACTCGTCGTCCTTAAAACAGGCGTAGTTTTCATCACGACAATGAGCTTGGCACCACGTGATTGCAAGATATTTTGAGAAAGCAGTTTTTCCAAAACCTGCATCAGCTGATAGATAAATTGCTTGTTGATCTCCACTTCCGGTTGAAAACAGGTCTTTCAAAGACTTTATCGGAGTTCTTTCCTCTTCATGACAAGTTAGGGACTTCTGCTTTACGGCGACTAAATCTGGCATCACATAGAACCCAGCTAAAGGTGTCTCTATTTCTTCCAGAAGCGGTGAGAGAGGTATTGAACTACACCTTTGTCTGTAGAATTTAATCAGGTCGCCTTGAAGTTCTGAAAAGAGAGTAGAAAACAAAGTGTTAATCAGTGACAATCTTTCTATATAATATATGAAATGTTGAGGTGTTTACTAACTTCAAATTTGCATAGTTAGAAACAAGTAATGCATATGGTAAATAAGAAGTAAATAATTATGTAACATTATATACAGATGCTATGTTTAACTTTAGCAATGAATAATTATAGCTAAACTTTGTTTTAATAATTGAATAAATTCATATACAAAATGAAGTATTTCCATCGTTATAGGACATTCAAGTTTCTTCTATAAATACAGGATTTATTTTCATCGAGTGGCATGAACAAAAATATTCACGAGTGGCAGTAGCCACGAGTGAAATATGTTAATTTTCATACCACATGATGAAAATAAATCCTATATTTATAAAAGAAACTTGAATTTTCTGTTTATTATATACTTTTTTTCCTCATTTAGCCTATGAGTAGGAAGAGTTCCCTTTTAATTTTGTTTATTAGCTTAATTTAGAATAAAGTAGTCCGGCAAGACACCAGTGAAAATACGGAAAATACCAGTGAAAAATAATTTTTTACAGTGAAAATATGGAAAATAAAAATACGCATTTTATTTCATCAATATTTCTCAATATTTCATTCATAAGTATATAATAAATTGTATGCTTGAAAATAAACATTTTCCTTCTTCATTCTGAATCCAAAGAATTGGTGGGGGAGGGTGTTGATAAGCTAAAGAAGAAAATATTTCTTGATTGATTGATTGAGTGTTTGATTGATTGATTTTCTTTAGACCGGGCGGTCAAGGATAACCTACGAAAGTGCAAGCAGTTATTTCCAGTAGGGTCTTTACCTCAGCAGACTCTAGATACAGCTATGAGATACAAGGGAGTCCGGGAACCAGTCCCTAGCTCTTATTGAAGAGATCTCTTGGTTCCTTTACATGCCCAGTGTATAGCACTGATACATGCGAGAATTACCTGGGTTTCTTACCAGTTAACCTCTAGGTAGGTGGGAAACACTGAAAGTGTCTCTGAAAAATCCCAAGGGTGTTACCCAGGATCGAACCCGGAACCTCAGGAGTGACAGTCAGTGGTCTAACCAACTGAGCTATCGCGCCATTATCTTCTTTAGTTAATTGCATGAAAAAACACCAAGAACGATATATGTTTAACCGTTTTAAAATGATATTTTTACATCAAAAATATGAAAACAAATCGTTATAAGGAGGGGGGATTTTTTTCTCGAAACAGGAAGTAATTCCTCCTGATTTCTCCATCATTTTAATTTTGCCTAATCGGAATTCCTCGGCTATTATTCATAATCAGACCTAATACGGACTATTGTTTGATTTTATTAACCTGTCGATAGCATACTTATTATACGGTCAAAGCACACAATATATAGATATACTGTAGATTTTCGGCAAAGCACCTTATAACATGTGATTACTTTTTTTTTATTTCTGTAAAATGCATGTAGTTATACTGAACGTTTTAACGCAATACGGAGAACTACTAGCTGGTTTGTTCTACATATTTGCAAACACTTGGTCATTTCTATTAAAAAAAATACTTCAAAAATAAATAAAGAAAAAAAACTTTGACAAAAGTTATCCTCTGACCACTGACCACTCGTATACCAGGCAATCACTTAACAGGATGTGATAACGACTTATATACTTTGACTTTTCAAAACATTATTTATATATTCCATATTAATTATCGTTAACTACATGGATATAACCAAAGTTGGATCGAATATTCAAATAAATCTTATATATAATGTATTCATATTTGACAGGTCAATAAAATCAGACTATAAAAGTATTTCTACCACGTGATTTGATATGTAAAACACAGAGTGTAATCTTTGATAAAGAATATATAATACGGGGAAGTCAAAGTCCGGGCCCGCGAAGCGGGCCCGGGCTTTGGCTTGCCCGGCTATAGACTACACGTGTATATTTAAAAGAAAATCAAATAAAAAAACAATTAAAAATATATAGAATTCTATACCTATCAATGAAATTTTCAGTGTCAGTTCTAGTTAGGCGCCGCCATTTACAATGTAACTCAATGATAAAAGGCGGTGTATTCCGATAACGGGACAAATCTCAACTTTTCGGATTAATAATAATCGTCGAGTGTTCCGAGTGAAAACGGAAGCGGGTATATATAATACCGAATGACACCTTTAAAACGGAAAAAATGAAAGTATTTTTTACCGACTTCCCCGTCCATAGGCTTTGCCTAATTTCATATTACAAATATTTGACATTCAAAAAAAGTCTGAATTACTTTTTTACACTATCCCAACATTGTGCTGGGTCCCTGTGTTTCAGCGTATAACTCAGCTTTCAAATATAGATGAGTGGAAAATATCTAATCAATTTTTAACCGTTAATAACATTGAACTATAATTATACATGTATAACATCATATATTATATATATAAGTCACCACACTTACAAACTTGCTTGCATAATTTCAGTCGGCCATATTTCCTAGCCATGAAAGATAACTCCCTGTTTTCCCTGTCTAAAATCCCACCAAATTATTCCCCTTTCAAATGAACTCAAAGAAGGGACCTTTTAAAAAGACTTTGTATTTATTTATACGATTTTTTGTTCAGAAACGGACAATTTTTTCTTTACCTTTGTTTAATTTGCTTTCTATCAATATATGGTTCCTATGGTAAACATATGAGTTTTGATGGTAAACAAATGAATTTTCTGAACCGAAAGTAAACTAACACACAGCGTTGCTGTCATCACATGTAAACAATTCATTAAATCAGTAAGTATATTGAGATATTTGTTTGACTATCAGTTTCAAATGCAAAATATTAATATGGAAAACAACAATGTGTAGTTTATGTGTATTGCTTTAATGTGTTTGTCTGATATTTTAGTTGTAAAAGCCATGTACACTTAGTGTCGCTTCATAGCAACCGATTAAAAACGTGAGCGGTAACTGAACGAGATATGGCAAAGCGCATGCTCGCGCACTGACTTCCGCTCTATTGAAATATTGCATAGACGTATAGCGAAAGTTCGTAAGTGCACCAATAATTTGAAATAAAATAAAACAATAAATTGTCGTCTGCTATCACTTCCGTGACAAGATAACATATTGTAAAGACATTTTTTAAAACATTCGAAATATAGAATAAATACATTTCCAATAAATCAAAATCTTACCATTCTATCACTATACTTCTAAAGAATTTGCATCAAAAGCAAAAACAAACAAAAAAGAAAAGTGTTTTAAAAAAATGTTCCATCTCTGGTGAATATACGCGGACAACTGAAACAAACATATATCTATAAATAGAAATTTATTACTTTTTGACAAGCATAGCCAACCAGGGGAGGAGCCAGGATTAAAGGTAAAACAGTGCATATTATCACGGGGGAGGAACGGTTACACGAAGGATGGAGTAATTACGATAACTGTCACGGAGTTTATGGAACTTTTCATATGTGATCTTCTTCGTTGCCATACCTTATTACCTAATTATAATGGAAAGTTGCAAATGTAATGCCCAGGCTTATAGATTACCCGATTTTCTAAATGTCACGGTCGGAGTTCTGGCGATAACTCTGAAAATGTCCTAGAGTTCTTATGATAACTTTTGTTACTGCCAGTATGTTTCAAGATTGTGCTATGTTACGGCACGTTTTAGTAATTTTATTTGTCAATAAGTGTGTAAATCATTATGAAGCGTAAAGTACGTAGAACGCTTATCATTTGCACAAGCATTTGGTTATATAATGTTGGTTTTGGTTGAACTTCAGTTCAAAAGATAGGTTTTCTTATCTCCGTTTCTTTTTTTCAATTTATAGAATTTTTTGCTAACACATGTTTTGTAAACTGAAAAAAAGGCTAAATATAGAAGATTAACTTACAAGATAAAAATATGCTTTGAATTCAATACTGGCAGTTTAAGAGAACATTAAGTTACAATATGTTATTGGTCTGCCGAAACAAATTGCATGTAAATAGTTTGCAGCAAAATATGAAGTAGTACCTGCCTACATACCTACCCACCTGCATGCCTACCTACCTGACTTCCTACCTGTATGACTACTTACCTGCATGCCTACCTACCTACCTGACTGCATACCTGCCTGCCTACCTGACTACCCACATACTTACCTTCCTGCCTACCTACCTGACTGCCAATCTGCTTGCCTGCCTGCCTACCTATTTAACTACTTGTTTACCTGACTGCCTACCTACCTGCCTGTCCACCTACCTACCTGCCTACCTGACTGCCTGTCTGCCTGCCTGCCTGTCTGCCTTCCTACCTACCTACCTTCCTACCTACCTACGTGCCTTCCTACCTACTTACCTACCTGACTGCCTATACCTACTTTGCCACCTAAGCCCCCGTACCGGTAACAAATATCATGCTCCTTCAGCTTAATCTTTATTTACTTAATTCAAACAAACCAAAAAGGAAGTGACGTTATGTCAGTGAGCGACGCCCGTCATGTCGTTGTATGTCGTCTTCCGCGTTATTCGTTAGTGTTTACTCCATTAGGTCGATATGCTTTTAACATATTTTTCACAGATTTTTGATTTTTTTTCTTTTAATTGCCCGGTCCCGTACAGTTTTTGTGCACTGCAGTTATAGTCGTGAGAGTAATTGATAAAAAGCATGACTTATATATCACTTGAAGGTGAAATCTGTCTCAAATAAGAAAACTAAAGAAAAAGGCCGTGTGACCGGCGTGTCGTGAAAACGACTCATTATACAGTTACCTTAGTAACGTAAAACCGGCAAATAAACGTCAAAATTCAGGGAAACTGTGTTTACGTATTCCTGACGTCACTAGAAAATATGACGTCATTTGCCCTATTGTAACTTTTCCATGTGGTCGTCAAAGAGTTAATTGATAAATTTGTATTAGGGTATAGTATTTTTTGTAATCATTTTTTTTAAATCAATAAAACTATTAAATGGCGCCGTAACTCTATATAAAGTAGTGTTCATAATTTAGTTTGGTACACAACTGGTACTCTTTCCTATGATTATATTTTTCCACACATCAAAAAACAGCTAAAGGGATGGATGTTCAAAACACTTCATGATCTTCAAAATGCAGTGTTCTGAATCATTTGTACAATTCCAAGTGACCTTTACAGGGTCACATTTAAGAAATGGGTTGACCGCAACATGCGAGGCATCGAATGTAATGGGGAATACTTAAAAAGTTGTGAAAACGTGTATGACGCTGAAACATTATGACGGTGACTTGGACGTCATGCGTTTAACGCGCGCCATTGCAGCTGTGATTGTATAATAATTATAGAGGATATTGAATGAGTGTAAGTTCAATACTGAATGTATTGCACGAATAAAATAAAATTATAAATTATGCGAGCCTCTGGCGAGCATAATATTATTATATTCAACGAGTGCAATAAAATTTAGTAATGAACTTACACGAATTTAGATCTAATATTCTATTTATCACATATCCAAAATAAAGACCGTTTAAAGTGAAATAAGAGTCATTTTATCCTGCTACTATCAATATCATCAGCTGGATAAAGCCTTGCCGGATAAACTTATCTATCTCCAGTCATTACGTCACATGATGACGTCACATGTTTAACAGCAAAATTAAAAAAAACATATATAAAGATGCTATTTTATCGGGGAAAAAGAAGAATGAAATCATTTAATTATTCTAAAAACATTATTAAAAGCAGGACAAATCAAATACATGTATGATATCGGGCTGGAGAAGGTTTATCCGGTTCGCTGCAACAATTTGCCGCTTAAAATATCCGTCGCCCGTTCTGTCTGTGAAAATGTATTTGCCGTATTTGAATCGCTTGCGCGACCTGAAACCAAGAGACTTGCTCGCCAACTCATTGTTCTTCTTTAATTTAATCACCTCATAAAAATATAAAGGAGTATCCCACATTTATTGGTAAACATTTCTGAAAGAGCGAATTTCTAGTTTTTAAACGGGCTTTATACTTCCCAACTTACCCGTCTGTCTACTGCTGCTCAAAACCTGTTTTTTCAGTTATTCAACGTCCAAACGACGTCAAAGTTCAGATTTATGTCATTTAAATATTAATAGATGATTACTTGTATTTTACTTTATAAAACAATCATTCAGTTTGTTTTAACATTTGTTTATATTTAAACATTAAATGAAAATTTCGACGTGCGTCGATGTTGCGTTGCCATGGTTATTAAAGTGCACATAACTCGTAAAGGAAATAAAAGTTAACAATAAAAGTAAATCTTACTTTTAGAAATTAGGACACTCTTTTGATTCATATCCACAAAGGGTGTTTTTATAACTCAAGTAAAAAATGACAGCAAAAATCCACGAACTTTTTGAACATTACTCGTATTGTTACGGACTGGAACGGGAACGGAAAACATGATTTTTCCCGCAAAAAGTCAAGCTTATACACAGTACTGTCAAACTGGTAAATAAGGACCACCCAAGGAGAGAACATGCATGGCCTTTAATGACAAATTAAAGGTATTTATTCTGAATATACATTTTTCAATGAAGGTTTCTCAAAAAGTGGTCTTTAACTACACGGTGGTCTTAAATCGGAGTTTGTCTCTTACAAAGGTTTGACTGTATATCAATTCTGGAAAGCCACATGCATAGCGTATTTAAGTAAAATCTTACTTGTTTTCATCCGGTGATAACGTCTCCTCTCAAAAAACCTCTGAAAAATGTTTCCATTCTTCTGTCTGTCCTGCTTTGTTTCATCTGAAGGATAATTGAAACATTAACAATTTAATCAAATCAGTTATAAGAATTATGATACATACTTTCCAAGACTTGAACCATTGTAATGGAATATGTGCTGTATAGTAGAAGTAACCACTGAAATGTGCTGTATGATACAGTTACCACTAAAATGTACTGTATGATACAGTTACCATAAAAGTGAGTTGTATGATAACAGTTACCATAAAAATGTGCTGGATGATAACAGCTACCATAAAAGTTTACTGCATTATAATTGTAACCGCTTAAGTGTGTCGTAGATAACAGTTACCATAAAGGTGTGCTATAGGTAACAGTTGTTCGTTTGTTTGTTTAATTTTACGTCTTTTACCAACAGTATTTCAGTCATATAGGCGGGTAGTTTCCTTACCATCGTTACACCAGTACTAGACTACCTTCCTCCAAGCTTAACTACCAAAGCATCTCCCGGGGATCGAAACCACGCCAGAGAGGTAACTGAATTAGAAGTCATCGACTCTAACCCCTCGACCACGGAGGTAACAGTTAACACTTAAGTGTGCAATATATCAACAGTGACCACTAAAATGTTCCAAAACTACTGACCCCTTGGTACGGATATTCCGATCAGAACCGCAACATATGACAGGTATAATTAATATAGTATAATGCATCTGTTAACTTTCAAGTGAAAATGAGACCTTCCACACTGTACATATCTCGTAAATTGACAATTTAGTAAGTCAACACATTGATTAGCTGGCGCACTGCACCACGCAGTATTACCAGTTTATATTTATGACAATCTTATAAACGTACGAAACAATTTACATCTGATGTAAAATAAATAAATAAATAAATAAATAAATAAATAAATAAATAAATATAAATAAATAAATAAATAAAACTCTAAAGAAATAAATAAATAAAAACAATTTATGAAACTGTGTACACGTAAAATGAAACGTCACTCGCACATTAGACAAACAGTACTTGTAAAATTTTGTACATGTACATAAGCAGGGGATATAAACGACTCAATCATCATCTATAATCGGTAATTTCATTTTTGGATATTGAAGGAACAATATTGACCTGGCACTTTATAAACTTTCAAATATATTGATACACGCGTCAGTGCGGTGTGTTTGTACAGATCCGAAGGTATCTTATTCTATTTCTTAACCAACACCGCGTTATGAAGTTTCTTTTTCTCCCTTTTTTGAGGCGGGGGGGGGTGGTGGGGTGGGAGGTACTTTACTTGCAAGAATAAATTTGAAACCGTTTTTAAAAAATCCTATTAACTAGTGTTTTTTTTATTCATAATTATATTTGTTTAATTTCATTATATTTTTTACTTAAAATTAATTCGCGTTTATAATACAAATCAATGAAATTATAGATAAATCGTCGCCCTGCAGAGGCGCGGAGTGAGATGCAAAAATCAAACGGCGGGGGCGCGCAGCGAAAACACGCTCATTAGCGGGGGCGCAAAAATTAAGGGGTTTCATGAATGTATGTATAGAACGGCCGGGTCGCGCCATTTAGCTAAATTAGTTTAATAAATGAACGTCGCCCCGCGCCCCCGCTAATAAATAGAGGATATTGAATGAGTGTAGTTTAATACTAAATTTATTAAACGAGTTGAATAAAATCATATTATGCGAACCTCTGGCGAGCATAATATTGTTTTATTCAACGAGTTTAATAAATTTAGTATTGAATCTACACGAATATAATATTCAATTCATCACATATATAAAATAAAATGAGTATTTTTTTCGATGACGCGCCTAAAGTGTAACAAGAACATTAGCGCTTTAACGCTGTGTTTATATATAGCGCAAATGACGTCAAGTCAAAGTGATATTACACTAGTGTAATATCGTTTTTATCAAATGGCTTTATTACACTCCTGCGCCGCGTATTATGTGATAAGTGTGTTTTCGCACCGCGCCTTCGTTCATTATAACTTGTTAATTTTCGACTTAGTGCTTGGCAGAGTCGCGGGGCGAAATCACGAATGACACAAATCAGCCACCATAAGTATGACAGATGGCACTAAAATGTAACCCCTTATAGTCGTTAAACAAAAGCATGAAATGTCACATGTGCACATAGATGAATAGGATGATAATGAATGATTGTGATGATGAAGATGATAATGGTGATGATGACGATGATGATGTTGATGTATATGATGATGTTGATGTAGAGGATGATGTTAATGATGACGATGATGATGGTGATGATGACGATAATGATGTTGATGCATATGATGATGTAGATGATGATGTTGATGATGACTAGGTAAAGGAAAAGCATGACAGGGGCTGCACTGACCAGAATTTTGTGTAGCCAAATATACTTCATCTTTTTTTTGTTATTTAGCAGCCTGTACAAGCAAAGACAATTCTGTAAGAAACTTTTAAACATTGTTGCCAATAAGCACAATATAGCTGATACAACAGATTGAGCCCTGTATATACGTATGGTTATGAAAATGATGTTGAGTTTCAGAACAGTTTTCGTACATTAATATAAACATTTATCAGAAGTGCATTCACCGAAAGCTACTAACACGATGATGTGATATAACATTATTCATGAATCCCTTAATGAAAGAAAAATCGTTTGATTTTTATTATATAATTATTGTAGGTATTTATTGGCTAAATAATGCCAAATTTAATAGAAAATATGGTACCTGATATTTTCAAAGTCTAATAAAATAAAAGGAAACTTCATGTTAAAAATATTTTATATTTTGCAAGATCAACCAAAATGCTTTTAAGAAAATTCAGACTAACTTTGGAAACAGCCTCATATTGTTGTACATTTTGGGGATATTTAGAATAAGGCTTTTTAAGTTTAAAATGGGTGGGGCATGGTAACATTTTATACATATTTCAAACATTTTGTGTAGAAACAATCATTTTGCTTGTGGGATTTGTTACCTGGATGCTATTATTTGTTTCTTAACAATGATTAGGAGGAAAAAAAATTCATAATGATAATATATTACAGATTATTTTAGAGTTTCCTCATTTCTGAAAAGGAGCCCTTCCAAGAGCAAAATTTTAGTCATAACTCATAAACCACACAATAAATTTTGTTTAAATTTTGCAAAGTGGTATCTTTTAGGACATATAGCTGTCAAATGTTGTCAATTTTACAGTTCTTAATAGTGACCATTAGGGGTGTCTTACAGTCAGTCCAGACTATTTGTGTGAAATTGCGACATTTACCATCAGGTTTATGGCGACTTCTAGCGTTTGTTGCGACATTTATTGTCTCCCATGCAACATTTAAATTCAGAAATTCAGATGCGACATTAAGAGGCGACGCGATTTTGCTTCAACATCTTCCGATCTTACACGCTACTCGAAAACGTTAACAACAACTGTTTCAAAAAAAGAACTTAAATGATACGCCGTAACTTTAAAATAAAACTTTATGAATTTTTAGTCTGTGTGTTTCATCATACATATGCAATTTGTTGGAATAAAATATAAGGAGATGTTCAGCGCTACGACTTTGCAATAGCATTACTTGGTCAAATGACATTTCCTGAACAAAAATAGGAATAACCATTATAAACTTCCAACTCTATAAATGTTTTACGTCAATGATCAAATAATATATAAGAAAACCATCATCAGCACGCTTTTTCTAAATGATGGATAATAAAATAAAAGCGACATAGAATACGGGGCAGAGCATTGCAAACATGCTTATCAAATTATTTGCCCTTAATAGTCAACTTTGAAGTAAATTATCGTCAATACATTATGTATGACAATAATAATAACAATAATTATGTATGACAAGTATGGAGACTTGAAATAAACGGGCCAAAACTACCAGATTTTAAGCGAGAGGCGATGAAAAATGGACTATGAATTAATTTTTGACACATACTACAAAATGTAAGGCAAGCAATCATTAAAGATTGATTTAGCACCTAAAACTCACTTTTAAACGATGAAAATACCATTTTTGACGAGTGTTTTTGCAGTATATACAATAGTTTTCCGACGAACTCCGTGACAGTTATCACAAAAACTTTAACAAGTTATTATAAGAACTCTACTTCCTGCCCCGTGGGATAAGAAACTCGAACACAATAGCAAGAATACACAACACGGATACGGTATTTCGGTCTAATGTTATGCGCTAAATTATAGGTTCTACTGAAGGTGGATTGAATTCCAACACAATGTTCCATTTTATATTTTAATGTTTCTTTCTTAGTGGATTACCACAAATAATATATAACATATACACAGGTTATCCTGATGTTTACAAATTAATATTAAAAACAGTAACAATTATTTCTAGTGGAGAGCCACAACGTTATCACTTGGAAATCCAAAATCTAACTGACCCTTAATTTTCTACATGTATCTTTACAATATTTCTAAAATTGATTTCGTTTTAAACTGACCAATATAATTTTAACATTTTTGTGTCTAAAATAACAAAATGACCAATCAGGTTTCAATACAAAATAATGTAACATAGCAACATAGAATTTATAACAACAATCATCACCTGGATATTTTATCAGTCATAAGGTTTAACAACATGATAAGTACAGACAGCTTAATTGACCTTATCACCTATATATTATAAAACTTTTAGCACAGTTGATTAGACAAAGAGGAAAAGTAGCATTTTAATCTTCCAGTTACATAGTTTTAAATTTGACATCTGTTATTGAAATATATACTATTTGTAACTTAACATATTGGAAATTTCACATTTTGTTGTTGTTGAAAATATGACCTTTTAGAAAATGATTATATATATAAATATGACTGTTTAAAAGAAAATCATCATGCATATTTATTCATTTTTTTTATTTTTTTTGTAAATGAATTTTATCATTTTTCGGCTGCACAACACTAACCTAAACTAAGAAACTTAACTTGTACAGTGAGCATTTTAAATTTGATAATGATTGTCAGACATATGTTCAATCATAATTCTACCAAAACAGACTTTCTTTTCCTATATTTACATTCATGACACATTAGTAAAAATAACATTACATCTGCAACCACATGGTAGAATTTTTTTCGATCCTAAGCAAGTTATTATTGATAATAGCCGAGATGATCCGATTGAGTCGGGTGATGGAAATAGACTTGTGGAGCACCGACGTTAACATAATAATCGATGCAGTCGCACAAGTAAGTTTTATTTGTGAAAAAATTGATGAAATATTTTTTTTTGAATGTAAGGTGAAACATTTACATCTTATTTCTTTTGTTTAATTTTATAAAGTTATTCCTTAGAGACAATAGGGTGCGAAATACGGAAATAATCTCCGCTTGAAAAAAAAATAGTGTTTGTGATCTCGCTTATTCTGTTTTTCCGCGCATCAAAACTCCAAACCGGTCTTAATATTATTGAAATATATCATATGTTGAAGATGTGATTAGAACAGAAGCATGTGTATTTTAAGGAATTTTTGTTAACTATTCATTTTGAATTTGATAAAGCATGCTTCCAAAAAGCTGGTGTAAAAAGTATATCTAGTAAATTGCCTTAATGTGAATGACGCATACTGACATGCGAGTAGTTCCTTAACAAAATAAAATCATAGTCACTTCAAAACTATATTTAATATTATCAAATTTTAAAGTCATTGCTTAATGGTTAAAACGCTATTTGAAATCGTTAAGTGTGTATGTAATACTTTTAACTTTTATGTAAATATTAAATACTTAACGATTAACGCAAATAAAAGCATATATCGTGCTTTGAGGGTACCTATTTGTTCAATAATGAGAGGGTACCTGTGATATAAAAATTCAAAAGAAGAGAGGTAGCCTGTGCCGCTGCAAAACCGAAAGTAGGATGTTTTTATGAATTTTACATTTATTTTTGACAATATACCGCCATTTGTCCGAAGATGATATGTATATGAACATATTAAATATGTATGATGCATATATAATCAAGCCACAGGTTCATTTCAGCCCGAAAAATATGTCGAGTTGATGAGCGAAGCAAGACATGTCGATTTTTTGTAGCTTATTGTGAAGTTGCAGTACATGAAAACCGGGCACATGACAAATCAGCACATAAATAAAACATTCTAGTGTTCCGTGGTATACATCTTTTCTACGTGTCATACCTCCTTTCCTTATTACAATGAAATGTTACTGTATTGTTATCCATCGCTGGTTTGTTTTTAGCAGAGAATGACCTGTGCATGTTCAGAGAGGGTACCGTTTCAGCAGATTTCGCAAAGAGGGTACCGATATGGATATGCACCGTGGTTATAATAAATTATATATTATCAATGAAGCAGAGGCCACAATAAATAAAACGTATATCACATAGAATGATTTTGCCAGCACGCATAGCTCAGTCGGTTAAAGCGTGAGACTTGTGGCTTCTAGTCCCGGGTAATTAACTAAAACATATGTCAGTCTTTCACTGTCCTCCAAAATAACCGCATACTTTCCTGGAGGACCACGGACATAGGTGTATCATTTTGTGCTCAGATGAGCCAGAAACAGTGGCTCAAATGATAAAACTATAAGCCTATATTTCAACTTCTGAGAAAAAATGTTAATGTTTTGACTTGTTTCTCAAAAGAAGTGACATACTTTACGATCACACACGCGTTAAACATTAAAAGGTGTGTGTAAGTTATTTTTATAACGTTCGGAAATTTCTAAAAATGTCGAATATTTTTTTCCAAATTATTCCCGGTGCCCTTTCCATGACAGCACGGAAAGACCTTGTTTATATAAAAATTGTAGTGCATCACATGATGATGCTATATGCAAAATATCTAAGCCCTTGGCATTGTACTTTCAAAGAAGAAGATTTCCAATTCAAGTATATAAACCAAGCAGTCATAAGGGTGGGCCATTTTTGACCTAAGATGGCATGATTTGCATAACATATATCCGCCAAGGATTGTTAAATGTCAAATATCTAAGTTATTGGCATTATAGTCGCACAAAAGAATACTTAATTAAATATTTTACCTGTATATATCTACATAAATAAATATAATTATATTGGCTAGAATAAGTATGGTACTCACCACTTTATAACGAACTCTTAAGTTTTACATTAAAATACATTAAATCAAGATGGCACCTAAGATCAACAATTCTGGTGTCTTAGTATATGAAAAATGTAAATATCACATTCGATCACTTCGAGTGCAGTATGTTTTTGATATGGACATTTTGGACTCGGAAAATGAAAACGATGCTTGAAGGTGTACAAAATGGATTTGATATGGCTTCGATTTGGGCTTGAAAAATAAATGCAAGGCTAAATGGAGTGCAGTACGGTGGCATAGATACGGTGGCATAGAGGTGACATTTGAAGTTTTATTTTATCTCGTGGCAACGACTTATTATCTTGAGGCCTCAAGATACTATCTCGTGGCCACGACTTATTATCTTGTGACCTCAAGATATTATCTTGTGGCCACGAGTTATTAACTTGTGGCCACGACATATTATCTTGTGGCCACGATTTATTATCTCGTGGCCACGACTTATTATCTTGTGGCCTCAAGATATTATCTCGTGGCCACGACTTATTATCTTGTGGCCACGACTTATTATCTCGTGGCCACGACTTATAATCTCGTGGCCTCAAGATATTATCTTGTGGCCACGAGTTATTATCTCGTGGCCACGACTTATCATCTCGTGGACACGACTAATTATATTGAGGCCACGACTTATTATCTCGTGGCCACGAGTTATTATCTTGTGGCCACGACTTATTTCAGCCAATGAAAATGGTCGTTTCATCTTGAACAAAAGTTAATATCACTAAGACCTTATATCACACTGGCCACAGCTTTCACAAGAGTTGCGGGTCAAACGCTGCGGCACGTTTTATAATTATTATTATTATTTTTTTGTATGGTCAGGTGTTTCTTATATACTTTACTTAAATTTAATATAAGAAAATATTGATAATTGTTACATAGTCCCTTTGTACATGTAAACATAAAATAAACATGTTTTGACTTCACAGATAGTTGATATGTTATGTTTAAAATTCTACACAATATAGGTGTTAACCATGAATATATGTAGTGTCAGTTTTTTAAGTAAAGATTACTTGACCTGTTATAGGAAATGCAGATTCCTGTACATTGTTCATTGATTTCTTTATTCAAGTCAGACGCATTAAGTTAGAATATCATAGATTTAAATAAATTTCTGTGATTTTAATATTCAAGGATGAGCACGGTTTATCTAATGTGAAGTCAAAACATGTTTATTTTATGTTTACAAAGAGACAGTGTGATAATTATCAATATTTTCTAATATCAACTATAAGCAAAGTAATTATCTTAAAAGATAAATGAAAAAACACCTGACCATACACAAAAGAAGAAAGGGGTACACTAATAACTATAAAACGTCCCCCTAATTCAACGCTGCAGCGTTTGACCCGCCGCTCTTGTGACACTTTGGCCAGTGTGATACACGGTCGTTAACTTTTATTCAAGATGAAACAACCATTTTAATTGGCTGTAATAAGTCATGGCCACAAGATAATAAGTCGTGGCCACAAGATAATAACTCGTGGCCACGAGATAATATCTTGAGGCCACAATATAATAAGTCGTGGCCACGAGATAATATGTCGTGGTCTCGAGATAATATCTTGAAACCACGAGATAATAAGTCGTGGCCACAAGATAATAAGTCGTGGCCACAAGATAATAACTCGTGGCCACGAGATAATCAGTCGTGGCCACAAGATAATAATTTGTGGCCACGAGATAATAAGTCGTGGCCACAAGATTATAAGTCGTGGCCACGAGATAATATCTTGAGGCCACAAGATAATAAGTCGTGGCCATAAGATAATAAGTCGTGGCCACGAGATAATATCTTAAAGCCTCAAGATAATAAGTCGTGGCCACGAGATAAAATAAAACTGCAAATGTCACCTTTATGCCACCGTATCTATGCCACCGTACACACACCATGATGTCATATGATAAACAAAAATAAATGTTATATCACTTACGTTGTTTAGAATCAATATACTGTTCTCCTTTCTCGGCTTTACTTGCTGTCTTCAGTTCTTTTTGTAACGTCTCTCCCAGTTCAGTTAGGCCCGTCCGTTCTTTAGCACCTTGTTCATTTAATCGTTTCACTAAAGCATCAGTTTTATCTTGTATTTTTGTCATTCCCACGGCAGTTTTAGACTCAAGAGATAGAAGATCTTCTTGTTCTTTTCTAATCATTTCTAGCTTAATTCTGTCATATTGATCATCTAATCCAGCCTTCATCTTGTCTTGAATTACTGTTGCCACATCGTCTAGCACTTTTCTTATATCATTTTTACCAATGACTAGAGTGTCATTTTCTAACTGTTATTATAAATACCATAAAATATACAATATCAATAAATATACAAGTACATCAGAAAATTAATATCTTTTAATCATAAAATGTACATTTCAACGATATAAATTATCTATAGTATTTTTTTGTAACAAGTACGTATGCAATGTTTGTCATCACTAATTGGTAAATTGGATGCTGATCAAAATTATGATAGTTTAAAATGTATACAGCAAAACTTTTCCTATTGTAGTAAACACAATAAGTGCTTGTTCCTATGTCGGATAAAAGTCACAAGGGCGGAACCAGGTTTGTTTACAAACAAATCTTCAGCATAGAACAATAATTGCCGTGTATTTAATTGAATATTCTGACGTTAATTGCATCTCTCGGGAGGCATTTTGAAAAAAAGATTTCATTTGTTAAAAAAAATGTTTGTACATGTATATTTCCTTACGAGAGATTGCATAACGGCCAACATTTAATAACAGGAAACTATTTTGTTCCTGAACATTTTATTATGTTTACGCTCATTAAATAACAAACATTATATGTTACAATGACCTTGAGAATAGACCATAACTTAACGGAAACAGTATTTTAATTTCCATCAATGAAACAACATGATTTGTTCAAAATTCTATAAAGATTATTCAATGAGATTTGAACTCATTTTACGTAGATTAAACACGGAATCACTGTGTTCTAGTCATACGTCGAAATGTGTAACGTATTCAAATGTTAGAATAGTTTAATTACCTGAATAAGTTTCTGCTTAGCATTCTGCGCATGCGTGTCAGTACCTAAATACGCGGGGTCAGAAAGTAGTTTCTGTAATAGTTGAAAGTAATTCTGGAGATCTGAATCTTCTACTTCAAGTTTTGATGAATGTCGCATATTTCTTCCAATTACTCTCGCCTGGTCAAAATAGAATAACAGTTCTCATTTAATTTTTATCTAAAAGATTTAAAGAGTAAGAAGCTATATCAAATGATAAAACTGTGAAGCAATGATTTTGTGTTTTCATTCGCTTTTAATGAAATATAATTATTTGTGTCATACAGTCATTTTAGAAACATTCGTTTTCAAAGTTAAAAGAACTATAATATTTTCAGCAAATATAAAGCTTTTTTCTAAGTAAGTAATGAAATTTTCTGTAAACTAGAAAACTGTTAATTAATAGTAAAAATTCAATCCTTACTAAGCTATTAAATAATGCCCAAAAAGCATGATAAAATCTTAATTTATTATAGATATCACACTGTAGTGTTAAATTTCTATGTTCAACAAATGTATTAACGATTGTTTTGTTTCAAAGTTTCGTAATTAGTATCGGAATATTGTTTACCTCTTCAAAAATATTTTTCTTATTGTTGAGGTTTTCACGTATTTTACCCTGGAAGTCTTTGTAATTAAGGATAACGCTAATAATACCATTAAAGTCTGTTTCTGTTGCAGATGTCTTTTCTCTGTATCCATCTGGGGGCATGAAGCATTTTGCTACTTCCCAGTAATTACTGCACCACTGGGTGGCATCACTATTTTTGTACGACGGACCTTTGTACCTATGTGCATTGTGTATTTCAGTTTTGAAGTTATGACATATCTTGTTAGGACAGCCAGAAGAACTGTATCTTGTCGCAACATTTCGATGATACGTACATTTCCCATGCTTAACTTTACAAATTGTGTCAGTAGGGCAATGAACAACATTTTCCGTGCAGCAACTTGAACAACATGTCCCACTAAATAAGCCATTTAAGTACCATATATCATGCAGACATTTCAATTGAAATTGTTGCATTTCATTACAAACAAAAGGTTCGACTCCTTCTTTAGTAAACAACACAGCTAACTGAGCTTTAACCCAGTTATTGTATTTCTTTTCTAACAGTTTAGGGCTATATGAAGCCATTGCCTGCAAACTTTTATATTTCCCACTTAAAGCACTGGCGTGTCTAGTAATCTCCGATCCAGAGCTGAAAAAATATGTAAAATAATAAAGAATATTATAACATTTCAAGAGGGATTATTCTTGAAAGTTGTAATACAATCTTCTTTAGATATGTCAAAAAAAATATTAAAAAAAAAAACAAAAATTTAAAAAATAAAAATAAAATAATTTAAATGCCTTAGTTTATAAATGCTGTCAATATAGGCAGAAATACGGTGACACATAGGTGACATGTGTGTGTTTTTATTTATCTATTTTTTACGCACACAAGATATTTTGTCGTGATCACGAGTTACTAAGTCGTGCGCACGATATACTATGTTGTAGCTACGAGTAATAAAGTTGTACGCACGAGATACGTATACTATGTCGTGGCCACAAGTTACTAAGCTGTGTGCACAAGATAATTTACTCCTGAGTACGATTTACTTTATCGAAGCCGCGAGAACTAAGTCGTGCACACTAGATACTTTGCCGTGTCAACGAGTTAATAAATCGTGCACACGAGATCATTAAGTCGTGGGTATGAGATAATTAACCAATCAGTTTACAATATATATATGAATTTTTTAAACTTAGGAAATTCCTGGCTAAAATTGTACATGTAACATAAATCTTGTCAACTACTTAATGTATTAAGCTTAAACTTGATACATGTCTTAAAGATCCTGTAACACATTTTTTTCATGGTTTTATTTCATAAATATGATGCTCAAATTAAGATTTGTCAATACTGTAAGTTCAAGTAAGCATTATTTATAAAGGTATTACCGAATTTAACATTTCATGTAAATAAAGGGAGGTAATTAGAAATTTATTTTCTATAAATTCTATGTCAAATTTTCCAATAAGAAATTAATGCATATAATTTATTGATTAAATATAATGTGAACAAATATTTGCAGTACACATTTTACATATTCTTTGATGTTTTAAAAATTGTTTTATTTACATAACTATATATACATATATATTTTTTGCAAGTGTGGTATACACACAGTACTTTTCACTTCCCCTCGGAGCGTGCACGTCGCTGAGAAGGCACAGGGCATCGGCAGATGATTGAAGAATCGTGTTATAATCGTTTAAGGCGGCAGACTCGCATGTTATCTTCTACTCGAGGTAAGTTTAAGGCGGCACGAACTAGACAGACTACATGAAGTTAGCTGCCGTTGTCCTGACTAATGCCGAGGGGAGTGGCCCTACAAAGTAGGCGCTTGGGTCGACGAGGATGGTGTGCTAGGGTGCATGAGCCCCTAGCACGGTTAGACGGCTTGAAAGGCAGGCCTATAGCTGGCACAAACAGCCCTTTTCAGGGCTAAACACCTTTCCTATTGTCACAGGTTACTGTACATTTAGGGTCTCATTGACCGCCGTACAGTGACCTACTTTTGGCTCAAAATTCATATCTTTGGCTAATACTCCGTGGAAATTGCATGGAGGTAAATTATCACCACTTTGTGCTTCAAAATTAACTCTTTAAGGACATGACTGGTGACATGTCCGGGGTCCGTACTCGACAGCGCAAGCTGCATTTTGTGCCCTCGCGGGCGGATGGACCATCATTAAGCTTAAACTACTGACTGACTATACACACAGTAACAATATCAATCATAAAACATACAGGATCTTTAAGGATCATAAGTGGTAATTACCCAAGGCCCATAAATCAAATAATAATTTTTACTAATTTATGGCCCTTTTGTTGGGACCATTCTTTTGATCAGTATGTACTTGCTAACGAACTGTAAACCATGTACATACGATTACTTTTGAAGGAATAAGTCCAAGTTTATTTTATTAGGTAGGGCCATTGCCCGTGGCTATGACCAGTAAATGATCTATATTGATGTTTGATGTCATAAGGTCATAGATCGTATGAATAACTTAAGAAGGAATGAGCCATGGTTAATTTAACCTAGTATGAACATTGCACCTGTAGATGACACCTAATAATTTTGAGGAAATAGGGTCAAACATAAGGGTCAGAATGACGCTAAATGTAAAATCGTTGTCCACTAAATAAATTGTATTTATGGCACTCTGACAGGCAGGTGAAAGAGGGACATAACTGTTCTACTGCACTTTTCTAGTTACCTCAGAAAATTAATATATAATTATATAAATAATTAACAAATCTGACTACTACGGGGGCACAAAGGTGACATGTGTGTGTTTTTATTTACCTCGTGGCCACGAGATACTATGTCGTGGCCACGAGTTACTAAGTCGTGGCCACGAGATAGCTAAGGCGTGGCCACGAGATACTATGTCGTGGCCACGAGTTACTAAAAAGTCGTGGCCACGAGATATCTACGTCGTGGCCACGATATATATGTCGTGGCCACGATTTACTAAGTTGTGGCCACGAGATAAGCTAAGTCGTGGCCACGAGATAATTAACCAATCAGAATACACTATATATAGTATTAATTTTTTAAACTTAACAACTTACTTTTACATGCAACATTAATCTTTGAAAATACTGAAGATATTCACTTTGAAATTGTCTTTTAGATCATGCTAGAAAGTCACCTTCCAAGGCCCATCAGACATATCAGACATTAATTTTGACTATAGCTCTTTGTTGGGACAATTTTGTGATCGAATTGGTCAGTTTGTATGTACTACGGCCTGTTAACCTTGTTCATACGATAAAATGAAAAGGAATAAGTCCTAGTTAATTTTATATGGAAGGGACATTGCCCATGGATAGTAGATAGCCTATAAGGTAAAGTCCTTGTCTGATGAATAATTTAGAAGAGATAAGCCATGATTTATATAATCCAGAAACATCATTGCACCTGATCAGTAAATAACATCTAATAATTTCAAGGTCATTGGGTCAAAAATCAGGGTCACAGTGACGCTAAATAACTGACGCTAAGTTTGAACTAAAGTTATTTTCGAGCATGCATCTACTTTGGCATCCGATAGAACACACCGAGATACTTCATAAACTAGTTACAGACACAATTTTCTTTCACTCAGTTTATTTACACTGAGCCTAAAATTTTGTGCTTTGATATGTCTATCTTCGGAAACCGAAAGTGACGGAAAAAATGTATTTGAGTATCCCAATACAGAAAACCCAACAAAAAATGACAGTTGTAATTCAATGAATAAGAGTATACCTGAGTAAAAAACGTGAAAATACAGTACAAATAAATAACTCCATCAGTTGACTAATACAGAAAGATTTATGATACTACATGTACTAGACGAGTTAAACACTCATTCTCACTTAAGTACGACATTTCATAAATTCTAGGACTGAAAAATGAACTTTCTCGTATATCAAAAATTTATATTCTATTCCAAAATTATAAGTATCTCGACATCTTAAGATATAAAATATTATCAGTACAGATGTCCTAGATTTTTCCCTATGACAGGTTTTCTAGATAGAACCAGAAAATAAATTTCGTCATTTTCGAGACACTGGTCCTTAAATTTGTGCATATGGTATGGCGATTTTTATTTGTCTCTTTAAGAATAAATTGTCTATCATCTAATTATATGAACATCTGGGAATTGGAATCAATCATTGAACTGACAAAAAATACATCTTTTTAAAAACAACTCATGGAAATGCATTTTATATCGAATATGCTTAAATCTCATTTTCAAAATGAATAACCTTACAAAATCCACAGATCCATACAATGGACGAGTAAGAAAATGTGAAAATTACTGACGAATTCTTCGAAGTACCTACTTATTTATTATTCAATTGTCAAATGTGAAATAATTTACGTCATCTCATATATTGACAATTTATTAAGGACTCGTAAATGATTTTTCAATTGTCCCGTAAGTGACCCAGTCTCCAGATGCTATGGATTGACAGAAAGAACTGTAAATACTTTGAATTATATATTTATAATGATTGAAGATTAACTTATATTTATTTATGAAATGGAGCAGATATTCCTTTGGCAATGTTGGGCTTTATTATCAATATTTAAACAATTGAACTGAAAATAGTAAAAAAATAAGCAAAAGATCGTATAAATGGACTTAGAAGTTCAAAAAAATTGCTAGATTTGCATAAAATCCAAGTTAGTGTAAACAAAAACAATAGAACGAATCAAAACAAACATTTTTTCTCATAGAAATATCACTTTCATTGAGAAAATCACTATTTTATAATTTTCTTTCGCTCTGGTCATTTACGGGACAAGTCAATCTTATTACTATTATCTTATAATTGAACTGCAAAACAATGTACAGTATGTTAGTTTAAACAGATATTAAGTATCTAGATAAACTAAAATATTGTATATCAAGATGCATTAAAAGTCATTGTCCATTTAAATGAAACATCTATGAAAATGTTATAAAGTTTTCAGAATGTATTTAAACAAGGACAAATACTAGTTAGTGCTCACTATATCTGCTCCAAAGAACCTTCTATCTTACAGTTAATACAAGATACTCCAATATTATTGCGTTTTCATTGATAAGCGTGGACTCAAAATTTCCTATTACTCGAATGAATATTCCAAAATTAATTTTACCATTTACGGGACAGTTTAGCCAGATACGGGACACGTCTATTTTCATGTTTACTTCATTTTGTGATTGCAGTATAAGTTTGAATGTATTCGTATATGAAAGTAAGTATCCATTGAACTCTATTATAGTCAAAACGTCTGAATACCAATTACAATATTAAAAATTATGATTTTTAGAAGCTATCTGCAAGTGAAAAACACATTTCAGATGCGTATGTTTAGAAAACATGGATACTTCTTTGTTTTCGTGGAATAATATTATTCCAACAATACCAACGTCCATTAACAAGTTGAAATAATTCAACAAATTTAGCAGAATAAATCACAAGAGAATGTGAGAGAGGGTGAGTCCCGTAAATGATAGGCTCGTAAATGTTGAAAATTTCTGTTTGGCAAGGGAATTTTATGAGAAATTGTGAAATGGTTTACATGAATGACAGAATATAAGCAAGACAAATATCCGCTCTAGATATCTGAAGTATTATAACATCGAAATAATTGAAAATATATTGCAAAAC